AAAATATCCGCCCATAGTGAAGTTAGAGCTTCATTTGAGTCAAATGACTGTATATTCCCATGAGGTAGCAGTAACAAGTGAACTTTCCGATACTATGAGAGGATTCAGCTTTTCAGGAGCTTCGAGCTCCAGCCACTATTACAGAAATTTCTGGAAAACTAATGTGCTCGTACACAAGCGCCTCTTAGAATCGTATCTCTCAAATTTTTTGATTTAAGAAGTTCAAGGGGTCCGGAATCAGTCTAGGACTTCACATAGCAAAAGAGTCACTTTGGCTCTCAACGGCTGCATCGAAAGTGATTTAGTATGGTTCCGAATTCTTACCGTAATCCCGTCACTGCTCCGAACCAATTTTACAACACATTCCTTTTATTTTACGCCTCTTTATGACGAGCAATAATCCAAAGCTGTAGATTACGATGGGAATCCGGAAGAGTATTGACTTTTCGTTCATGCACGAATTTGCAGGGACAAATCATCGGGCGAACGAAGAGAAGGATGTTCGGCTTCCAGTTGCTGAAGAGACTGCCTTCCATGGGTGGGGTGTATGCGTCGCTTTTATGAGTTCACGCTTGGGATCGCAATTAACTCACAGTTTGGAATATAATAATAATAAGGTTGTACCCATAAACCTAGCGCAGTATTTGTGAAGTGCCATACCATCCACCAAAAGTATGACCCTGGGTTTTGATCTCGGATCGGCACTAGCCCAAGTTAAACTAGCCCCAATTCATCGTCGAGGTTGATTGGTAGGTTAGATTCGTCTGGGAGGAGATAAAAGCACTGAGTTGTACATTGGGCTGGCCACTGCAGGTCATCGTATACTCCACATACCCTATTAAACCCTACTACATTTCTAGACCTTATCTCTTCTAGTACCCCCATAAATCTTTAGTAATTCGAAGTAATCACAATTGTTATCACAATATCATCAACTGTTGATGCCGTATGAAGAAGCGTTTTTCGAGAAATGTCGGCTGTCGGGTTCCCAATCAGTGGAGCTTTCTTAATATACCGGCTGGTATCAAAAGGGCATTTTGTGGGCGAATAGGCGAAAGACCTGATTAACTAGCTTAGCGGTGGCTTACGTAGCCTTATCTGGGGCTTACTTACCATTTGGATACAAAGATCCACCTGGGAAGGTCACTTGTATGCCGCGCTTGCTGCAAAGCCTCCAAGAAAGGGAACTCGGGAAGACAAGTAAGGAGGACGTTGGTGCTAGTCGGAATCTCGGATCCTATAGGTAACATGCACCACTAGAGCCCAGACCGTCTTTCAAAAAGAGATGTGTGCCCGTCAGTCTGGTACTGTAGAATCGTCTGCTCCGAAACTTTCTCAGTAATGACTCAAAATAAGTAATACAACTTGGCCTCCCTATCCTCGTCATCTTACATGAGCGTTATCCAAATAAGTTGGAATCGAAAAGGAGTAGTTGTACATAGCAGGATAACTGACTAACCCTTCAGCTGAACCAGGTTGCTGTTGATTTGGTGGCAGTGGAGGCAAATTGAATTGAAAGGCATCTTTTTGTTCACCCATATTCTACTGACTGTTCTGAAAGAAAAAAAAGCTGAAAAAAGCCCTTTTTTTGTCCTGTCACTAGTAGTAACAGTAATTGGAAACTATGCATAAAGGAGCAGCTGCCTCAATCCTAATAACACAGCAGCTTTCCGGAAACCTCTGTTTGGTGACGGAATGAAAAGTGGAAATGAAACATACTGCTAGCTTGAAGTATTTTGTTTGGGTGATCATCAACTATATCAGTAATACCTGTTCTGCACAATGGTATGCCCTCAGGACGAACGGTCGGTTGAGATCAATTATTCAGT